AGAGATGAGCTAGACTCTCATCTGACTCTGCAAGACCTCACTGCTGCGGTTGGACAGCTCAACACAGGACGGTCTCCAGGCATTGACGGCCTGCCCTCTGACTTTTATAAGCATTTCTGGGACTGTATTGGGGGAGATTTTTATGAAGTAATCTGTGAATGCATCAGGGAAGGGGTTTTACCTGGTTCATGTCAGCGTGCTGTGTTGTCTTTGTTGCCTAAAAAGGGGGACCTCTCTCTTTTAAAGAATTGGAGACCAGTTGCTCTTTTAACCACTGATTATAAAATCCTTTCCAAATGTTTAGCCAATAGGCTCAAAAATTACTTGTCTTTGGTAGTGCATAGGGACCAGTCTTACTGCATTCCTGATAGATCGATAATGGACAACCTGTTCCTTGTGCGAGATGTATTGGATTGCTGTAAGGGTTCTGATAAGAGTGTTGGGCTGGTTTCTCTTGATCAAGAGAAAGCCTTTGACCGTGTTGATCACCAGTACCTTTTTAATGTGCTTAAGGCTTTTGGCATTGGGGATGGTTTTTTAAGTTTGGTGCGTTTACTGTATTCTGGTGCTGCATGTTTGGTTAAGGTGGGGGGTGGGTTGAGCAGACCAATCCCAGTCACAAGAGGAATTAGGCAAGGCTGTCCTTTATCAGGTCAGCTATACAGTCTAGCTATTGAACCGCTGCTCATCTGTCTGAGGAGGAGATTAGCTGGCTTTCAAGCTGCACAGGGATTTAGGGGTCCAGGGGCAGCACTATCTGCCTATGCTGATGATGTAACGGTTTTTATCAAAAACAGTCAAGATGTTCAGGTTTTAGTTGAGTCCCTCAACTTGTATGAAAAGGCATCTTCTGCCAAAGTTAACTGGGAAAAGAGTGAGGCTCTTTGGGTAGGCCAGGAACAGATGGAAAGGCTACCACGTCTGCCTGGGACTTTGAAGTGGGGCAGAGAGGGGTTGAAAATTTTGGGTGTCTTCCTGGGGACAGATGACTTTCAGAAGAAGAACTGGGAGGGTATAGTGGAGAGAGTGTGCACCAAATTGTCTCAATGGAAATGGTTGCTACCCCGGTTGTCCTACAGGGGGAGGGTGTTGGTGGCAAATAACTTGGTCGCCTCCACCCTGTGGCACAGATTCAGTGTTTTACAGCCACCTGCAGGACTGGTACAGGAGGTGCAGAGGATGTTGGTGACTTTTTTCTGGTCAGGACAACACTGGGTTCGATCAGCTGTCCTATACCTGCCAGTACAAGAGGGAGGACAAGGTCTGGTGGATATCAGGTCCAGGATCATGGCCTTTCGTCTGCAAGCTGCCCAACGACTACTGTTCCATGGAGCAATTGCTTGGAAGAATACTGCCACTGTCCTTTTGAGACGAGCTGGGGGAATGGGGTTTGATAAACACCTGTTCCTTATGACAACGCCAGAGGCTGTGTTGGCAGGACTTACACCTTTTTATAGATCGATGCTGGAAGCATGGAAGGTGTTTTCTGCCTCAAGGACTACTGATACGCCTGTTGGTATGTGGTTGTTTGAGGAGCCATTGTTCTTTAACCCCTTTTTACCATCAGCTCTTTCATCTTCAGCAGTATTGCGCTCTCGTTTGGTGGCTGCAGGATACACGAAGCTGGGCCACCTCATGAGAACTGGAACAGCGGCTGTGAGTGAGAGGACGGGGATCAGGTCCGGTCGTCTGCTGAATCAGGTGATGGCAGAGGTGCAGAGGTCACTGCCAGCTGACTACCTGAGCTTCCTGAATGACCCATCTGTCATCGCCCAGTGGAGGGAAGGATGTCAGTATGATTTTCCTGAACTGACTGTTAGCCCTGCTGTGGAGTGGACTGAGGACGAGAGGTGTCTCCTTTCCTTCACCACTCCAGTACTAGGCACCTTCTCTTTGGTTGGAAAGAAGACACTGTACTTGGTATGTGTGAAGGTGTCCCAGGCACGCTTTCTGGATGGAGTTTTATCAACAAGGTGGTCTGAGTTGTTTGGCACTGACTCCTCCCCGAAAGGCTGCTGGCGGGTTCTGTATAAGCGTCCGATTGATAAACGGACAGCTGACCTCCAGTGGAGGATTGTACATGGAGCCATAGCTACAAACAGACATCGGGTGCATCTCGATCCAAATATTGGGGAGGGCTGCCTCTTTTGCCCACAAATTGAGTCTCTCTTTCACTTGTTTGTGCAGTGCGCTCGGTTGGGTGATTTGTTCTCCTTGTTGACCGAATGGTTCTCGTCGTTGGGTGAGGCTTTCTCCTTTCAGCTTTTTATTTTTGGGCCCAAATACACAGTAAGGAGGAAAAATGTCCTAGTTTTACTAAACTTTTTATCTGGTACAGCAAAGCTAGCAATCTGGAAGACAAGAAAGAACCAGATGCTGGGTCAGGGAGCGGTGGACGTGGTGGCTGTGTTCCTGGGGTTGGTGGCTGCACAGCTGAGAATGGAGCATGCTTACTATAATTTGGTGGGGAAGTTGCCAGAGTTTGTGAGCATTTGGGGCATTAATGAAGTCCTATGCACAGTCGATGATGTTGGCAATCTACGGTTGATGTTTTGATTGTGGGTGTTGTTTTAAATTTATGTTGCAGTTAATTTTTATTTTTTTTCATTTTTTTCTAACACTCGTAAAATTTTGAGCAATAACCTTGGTGTCTTCGTAGGTTTTTGAATGTCTCAATAAAAGGGCTTTTAAAATTCAAAATTCTCTCTCCCTCCCTCCCTCCCTCCCTCTCTCTCTCTCTCTCTCTCTCTCTCTCCCCCTCTCTCCCTCTCTCCCTCCCTCTCTCTCTCTCTCTCTCTCCCTCCCTCCCTCCCTCCCTCCCTCTCTCTCTCTCTCTCTCTCTCTCTCTCCCCCTCTCTCCCTCTCTCCCTCCCTCCCTCTCTCTCTCTCTCTCCCCCTCTCTCCCTCTCTCCCTCCCTCTCTCTCTCTCCCCCTCTCTATCTTTCTCTCTTGGTAGAAGAACTGATTTCACAGATGTGAAACTTGCTTGTCTGCTTATTCAAATAAAAGGACAAAACTGATTTCTGATTAATGTAAAGCTTCATTTAACAATGATTCACTTGTGTATTGTTTATTTGTTAAGAAAACATTGGAAGTCAACATTGCCTATACACTCTTCACTGTAAAAAAGGTCCTAGTTTTAATGAAAATAGCCCTAAATTTTTACAGTAGTTTTCTGTTGTTTTTTTTATTGTATACCAACTCCAAAATAATATCTGTAAATCAACAGATATTATTTTAAGGATTATGCCAATAATGACAAATTATTTGTATTTCTTATTTTTTTACAGAAAGAATTCTGTATTATTTATACAGTATTTTTCTGCTTTTTTAAATTACATGCAAATTTATGTAAAATGACAATAATTATCTGTAATTAAATATGTAGCACATTATATAAATGTTTATGCCCATACTAACAATTTCATGTTTTTTCTTTGTACTGTTGTTCTTTTACATTCAAACTAAGTAATTCTGGATACAAGCTTAGCAAACAATTTTCATTACATCAAACGTAATGCATAGTCTTTTTTAAAGAGTACAAAGCTACACTGCTCTCCAGGTTGCAAATTTAGGCATGCTTGTGGCTCTGGCCACACCCAGTCAGTGATGTCATAGTAATTAAAATGAGTGAAGGCAAAGTTAGGAAAACAAGGCATTACAATAGTCCAGACAGGAAGTAGTAGAAGCAAGAATAATAAATCCTGTAGAGCAGCAACATTCTTGAAAGTTTCAGCCTCCAGAGAGCAGTGAAGCGGAACCTTTTTGCCATTATGTGATATAAAATATTATCAGTTCCTGCTTGTTGATGGGTAAAACCTGATTACCAGTGATCAAATTGCTGAAAAAAACAATGAACATTGCACAACAAATGACTAAGAGTGGGTTAATATTCAGAAATTCTAATATATCTTAAATATAATTTCTAATAATAATTCATTTTGTTTCCATGTAACAATATCAGTAACCAACTAGCAAATATTTATTGTGATATCTATCGTTCAACTCAAGGGCTACTGGACCCAGTCATCCAACTGTTTCTAGCTTTAGTATTAAAGAGCAAAACAGAGCAAGACAATGACAACATAGTATATACAAACAGCCTCAACTAAACATGATAATAAAGCATCATAATAATGATCATTATTAAATGAGTAAATAAATGAATAAACAAATAAATAAATAAATAAATAAATAAATATGGAACATAAATGGATTTTTTTTTTTCATTTTTCTTCTTTTTTTCTTCTTCTTATTATTATTGTTATTATAATTATTATTGATTTGCAATCAAAATAAAGCATAAATCAAATTACATGAATATATTAAGGAGTAAATAAATAATAAAGAAATAATAAAAAGTACTTAAAAATAGATTAATGAAAAAATGGTTATACAAAATTTCTGATATGGTACTTTAAGCAATCTAAAAATCCTACCTATAGTTTTATGTATAGAGCGCTGCAGTTGGACATTTTGACAAGCTGGCACAATTTGTCAGCACTCTTTTTTAAAACTGGCGCTGATGAAAAATAAACTGAGGTCATTAATGGATCAGAGCAGACTGAATCACCTGGCCCTGATGTTAACATTACTTGTGAATTTGATTTCACCAACCTAATAAATGGCTTCTCTGCAACAAAAACAAGAAGGAAATAATTCTAAAGGTAGGACGTTTGTTCCTTCTTATGTATTGAGAGTAGTGGTAGTGAAAAGATAGGATACTTGTGTGTTGGGGGGGCATTCAAAAGTGTAGGGTCCCCAATCACCTTAATCCTCCACTGACAGAAATATATAATGATTGTGTGTTTTTTTGTCTGAAACTGGTCTAAGTGCTTATTTAGATATAAAATGTAAACTTGCTGTTCTTTCCTTGTATGCATGAACTGGTTGGGTAAGTTCTGTTCTCAACTGGTCTGAAATAGACACATATCTGTATTCAGTAGGCAAATGAGCAGGAGCACATAAAAACATATGAACTAGCCAAATTAGGAACCTACCTTTGACTAGGAAGCCAATTACGAGCGCCAAACTCAGTGTCCTCAACATCGTCATCACTCAGTATGAAACTGTCTTACCAGATATCGGACTTACATACACTTCCTCAGCACCTGAGACTGAGACACACCCACACCTCCCTCCCTCTCTCCCTCCCTCCCTCCCTCTCTCCCTCCCTCTCTCCCTCCCTCCCTCCCTCTCTCCCTCCCTCTCTCCCTCCCTCTCTCTCTCTCTCTCTCTCTCTCTTTCACTCTTGGTAGAAGAACTGATTTCACAGATGTGAAACTTGCTTGTCTGCTTATTCAAATAAAAGGACAAAACTGATTTCTGATTAATGTAAAGCTTCATTTAACAATGATTCACTTGTGTATTGTTTATTTGTTAGGAAAACATTGGAAGTCAACATTGCCTATACACTCTTCACTGTAAAAAAAGGTCCTAGTTTAAAAAAAAATAGCCCTAAATTTTTACAGTAGTTTTCTGTTGTTGTTTTTTTATTGTATACAAAACTCCAAAATAATATCTGTAAATCAAGATATTATTTTAAGGATTATGCCAATAATGACAAATTACTTGTATTTCTTATTTTTTTTACAGAATTCTGTATTATTTATACAGTATTTTTCTGCTTTTTTAAATTACATGTAAATTTATGTAAAATGACAATAATTATCTGTAATTAAATATGTAGCACATTATATAAATGTTTATGCCCATACTAACAATTTCATGTTTTTTTCTTTGTACTGTTGTTCTTTTACATTCAAACTAAGTAATTCTGGATACAAGCTTAGCAAACATTTTTCATTACATCAAACATAATGCATAGTCTTTTTTAAAGAGTACAAAGCTACACTGCTCTCCAGGTTGCAACTTTTAGGCATGTTTGTGGCTCTGGCCACACCCAGTCAGTGATGTCACAGTAATTAAAATGAGTGAAGGCAAAGTTAGGAAAACAAGGCATTACAATAGTCCAGACAGGAAGTAGTAGAAGCAAGAATAATAAGTCCTGTAGAGCAGCAACATTCTTGAAAGTTTCAGCCTCCAGAGAGCAGTGAAGCGGAACCTTTTTGCCATTATGTGATATAGTATATTATCAGTTCCTGCTTGTTGATGGGTAAAACCTGATTACCAGTGAGCAAATTGCTGAAAAAAACAATGAATATTGCACAACAAATGACTAAGAGTGGGTTAATATTCAGAAATTCTAATATATCTTAAAAATAATTTCTACTAATAATTCATTTTGTTACATTAAATGGGAATAGGCCTTTATCTGCTGTTCAGAAAATTGAAAATGGCAATGCTATGATTTTCACATTCTGGAAATTGTGAGTAAAAATATTATTGATACTTTTGCTATTTTGCTAAAATGAAGTCAAGTCAACTTTGTTTATATAGTACTTTAAACACAACAAAGTTTCTTTAGATTTTGTTATTATGTTATCTGATCAGAATTTGAATTTGTTATGTACATAGAAATCAGATGGTCATATCAATGTCTTGAGGAAGAGTGCATGAGAGAAAAATACAGTGAGGCAAGTCACACTGAGGCATACAATACACTGAGACACTGAAACTACAAAAAGCAATACGTGGAGAAAAAGGTTTGAAAGGACTGGAATGTATCCCAGCATGCAATGGCAGAAAAGGTAAATAGTCTGTCACAGAGCTAACACACACACACACACACACACATTCAAACCTATGGGCAATTTAGAATCCTCAGTTCATCGAATGTGAATGTCTTTGCACTATGAAAATCAATCCCCAGATGAAACACAAGGAGAACATGCAGGCCACAACCAGAAGGTACCAGGGTCATAGCTGAACCCAGGTCCTTCTTGTTGTGAGGTGACTGAACCATCAGGCCACAGCAAGCACTAATACGTGTGCCACTCAAGTACCACATTATTACAGTGTTGAAATAAATAATAACGATGCATTATCACACTGCACACAGTGAGGCCAACCAGGGTTTATGGTGGAACATACCTCTGTCTTAGTGCCAGTCCATCCACTGTCTTTGCTTTCATCAATAAATAGAATACACTAAAGACAGTCACTAAGTGAGAAGGCTGGCTAATGGTCTAACTACTGCTGTCAACACCTCGGACCTGGCCGGCCCAGAGCCAGGCAGAACAGTAAAGACAAGAAGAGGAGGAAATGGCTTTGCAACTGACTTACTCACGCCGTGCAGTTAAATTAAAGTCTGAACACAAATGTTGTAACTTGCATGGAATTATGGCAATGTTGGCACAAAAGTGTTGCTGTTAGCAGAGGCTTATGCCCAAGCCAAACAACTGTGTAACACTGCAACACAGTAAAGAAAAGGTAGCATTGCTATTGGCTGTCTCACCATGTTGCTTTGAGCATGATTGGTTAATCAGACTGTCATCCAGGAAACTGGCCAGTGACACCTTAGTCGGTCCACAAGCAATGGCTGTTACCTGGATTATTTTACATCTGGCTGTCAGATTCTTATTTTGAGTGAATTTGAGTTGTGGGATGTCAACAGAGAAGTAAAAAATGGGAAAATGGACAGAGAAGAAGGGTCAGACGGGATCTGTTTGGCAATATCAGGTAAGAAAACATTCTCCCTGTTATTCTCCATAACAGCCGAACGTAGCATTAGCTGTGTTTTATGTCCATGTCCTTCATTTATGTAGCCAAGTCTAAAAGTACACTGGACAGCAGCTGCTAGCTATGTCCTCTGTGTGGCTATGCCGTCTGTGTGATATGAGCAAGACAGCTACATCTTAAAAATATTACCCCAAGTTTCAATAATTTCATTTATATACTATAAAAAAAAGGTTTTACATCCAGAAGTGCAAACTGAGCACACAGTCACTGTAGCCCAAATGTGTTAACTCACTGCTTTGTGTTAATATTGTGGAAAAGAGGTGCCTCCTGGTTCAAATCTGACCTTTGGGTTTTTTGTATTTTGGGAGTCTACAAACCATAACACTATATAGACCGTAAGTTCTTAAGATGTTTTTATAAATACATATCAAGTATAAATGCAGTATATTCTTCGTACCTTCAGATATAAGGCAATATATTAGATAATTTGAATTTAATTATCTCGTTCCCACTCAATAATTCTATCTTGATTTTTTTCCCCTGTTGTAGTGTGATGACATTGACATCAGGAGAGACTGCATCCTAAGAAGCCTGGTCATCTGTTTGAACAAAGACCAGAGTCTTTTTTCGAGCAATATTCGGTACATTTATTATCATACAATTTACATGTACAATGTGTGTCAAGATATTAGGCATAACCAGATTCAGGATATCATTCAGGAAAATTACACCCTGTTTTATTTACAAATTAGTGATAAAATTGCTGCATGTCATGTAATTGGAGAGAATAATCATTTACCAAAATATGCACTTCCACTAAATCTGTGCAATAACAGGAAAATCAATAGTTTCATGGAGGTGGTGGCTGTACAGAAGTCAGAACTGACAAAATGATGTTATGATTCCAATGTAATGATTCAGCACCAATTCACAGATGTAACTGCCATGATTAGATGCAACAAAGATGAGTCTTTGATTTATTGATTTGGTTAGACTCTGTTTTCTACAGATAGAATACATAGTGCTGATGTTGAAATAGCATCTCAAAGTTCATCCTTGGAAGAAAACTGATGTCTAGAGCCATAAATATGCAGCTTAATGAAGCTATATAGGTTTTGAGAGGGATTCAGACAAGGTCAACATGCCAGGATCTGATGAAAGTGTGCTTTAAAAATGATTGTTTGATGGGGTGGCCACATGTTCACCTTATCTAAGTCCCATTGGAATTTGAGATGCTACTTCAACATCAGCAGTATGCATTCTACCTGCAGTCGATTCAGAATGTAAATCTATCTAAAGATGAATCACTTTAGGATCAATTTTGGCAATTACATCAGTAAATTAGCACTTTAGTGTTCCTAATATTATTGGTACAATCAGCTAACATCTGATTTTGATTGAATTTGAGCTGATGATGGTGAATAGCTAAGCTACAGTTATGTTTTTCACAAGCCTTGAAAATGCAGACTTCTTCTTGTCCACTTCTCTGACCTGTCAGGGATTGTTTGTATTTATGTTCAGGTCTGTCATTGGTGATGTGGAGTAGGACAGGTGAGTGCACAATGGGGATTTACACAATTTGTAGAGATGGCAATGAAGATGGTGCTGAGCTATGGGACGTTGCCATAGTGATAGAGGACAAAAATCTTGAAAATACATTCATAAATGGTATTTGGGCTCATTTGTGCTTGATCTCAGCTTTCTGACAACTTGAAATACATATTTGAGTTTGTCCAGAAGATCTTGATGAATTTGGATGGACACAAGATGAACAGAAATATTCAAGATTCAGATTTTATATGTGGTGGAAAGTAAGTTTCTTTGGATGGTCTGGCGTTACAGCTCAGGTTAAATGTTTACCAAAAAAACTGCATTGACTGCACTGAGTCTTTATGCTCAAGTTGGTTTTTGGAATTTTAGTTGTATTCATGCTGATATTTGAAATGGCATTCTAAAGGAATTGGTTTTGCATTGTAAATTCTTGACTACACTTAGGGTAGGAAGTTAGTGTTAAAATATTAAACCCCCCAACATGATTGAGGTAGGGCAGCGCCCACCATATTTATATTGCCTAATTTCCTGTGTCATGTAGGGCTGAGAGCACTTTGTTTAGGATTTGAACTGATGCTGATAAATAGCTAAGCTACAATTGTGTTTTTCAATCAAGCCCAAATTTTTTATATAAACTGAATGTTGATCACCTGCGATGGACTGGCGATCTGACCAGGGTGTTTCCCGCCTTCTGCCCAGTGACTGCTGGGATAAGCTCCAGCTCCCCCCCTTGACCCAGATGGATAAGCGGCTTAGGAAATGTGTGTGTGAATGTTGATCATCAACTAATGACATCAGTCAATAGTTGGTAAAATTTGCATTCCTTGTCTTACATCATTAGAATGACATAAATTTAATATTTTGTCTGCTTGATTTGAATAATTGACAGGTTGTTCAAGTTGTGACTTCTGGTCCATTATATCGTATTTACTTCAAAAGTGCTTTATTTGGTGGGGCACAAATTTGGCTCATTTTTGAGTGGGTAAAATAAATGTGAAACTT